TCAATCTCATTATCAGAGAGGGGCATTTAAGGTAGCCTCTCCACTATTGCTTAGATTGTTAGTTGGGGGTAAACCTTATAGATCTCTGGGCATTTCCCTAATGTCAGATTTCTCTTTAAACCTATAATGGCTCCCTCTATTATGGTATCTCTTTTCTTGCTCTCCTCTATTCTTCCCCTGACTCAGTCTTCTTGCTCTATCATGTCCTCCCTTCCCCTCCTCTTCTCCCCTTTTCTTTCTCCTAACTCCCTCTCTCCTTCCCCCATGCTCCCAATTTGCTCAGGAGATCTTGTCCCTTTACCCTTCTCTAGGGGACCATGTATGTCTCTCTTAGGGTCCTCCTTATTTCCTAACTTTTCTGGTGGTGTGGATTGTAGGCTGGTTGTTGAGTGAAGCCTTTTCCTTGCTAGCCACTTTGGTTTTTCCCCACCAGTCGCCGGGGCTCTGCCATGTTGTAGTCCCCAAATAACACACAAGATGCCGTATTAATTATGAAGCTGTTGGCCTTGCTTGTTTCTTACTGGCTAGCTCTGACTTAAGTATTTACTCCATAATTGTTAATCTAAGTATTTCTCTTACCAGAGAAAAGGGTCTGGACTTCTTACCCCTGTGGCAGCTACATGATAACTCCCTGTGTTTCTCCTTCCCAGAGTTCTCCTGGTCTCCTAATCCCATCTATCTTGCTTCCCTATTGGCCAACAGTGCTTTATTCAACAACTAATAAGAGACAGATTTTAGAATGATATCTCCCATCAGCTGGTAATCCTTTACGCTGTCTAAAATCCATATATGAGTGAGTACATACCATGTTTGTCTTTTTGTGACTGGGTAACCTCACTCAGGATTGTTTCTTCTAGTACCATCATTTTTCCAGCAAATTTCAAGATTTCATTGTTTTTTTTCCACTGAGTAGTACTCCATTGTGTAAATGCACCACATTTTCTCTATCACTCTTTAATTGAGGGGCATCTAGGTTGCTTCCAGGTTCTGGGTATTACAAATAATGCTGCTAAGAACATGGTTGAACAGATGTCCTTGTTGTATGAATGAACATCTTTTGGGTATATGCCTAAGAATGGAATTGCTGGGCCTTGTGGTAGCCTGATTCCCATTTCCTGAGGAACCACCATACTGATTTCCAAAGTGACTTACGAGTTTGCATTCCCATCATTAGTGTAGGAGTGTTCCCCTTTCTCACATATCTTTTTAAGACAAGAAGACATTCTTGGGTGTAGTTCCTCAGGCTCCTTCTATCCACCTTGTTTTTTGGAGACAAGGTCTCCAATAGGCCTAGATCTCATTGATTAGTGCATCCTGACTGGCTACTGAGTCCTGAGGGAATCCATCTGTTCTTGCCCCCATGACCGCTGCACTGGGATTACAAACACACACACCCATTACCCAGTTTTTTACATTGCTTCTATGACTCAAAGTCAGGTCTTCACAGTTGTACATTAATCATTTTACTTGAAGTTCCAGGGTGTAAGATTTAAACTTTATATCTGAGAGGAACACAAGCACTCAGACCAAATCAGGGACTTGGTATCTTATTTCATAAAAAGGCTTCACATGTTTTGTGTTACACATGGCAAAACAGCATCCTGAGAGGTGGAGGGATATTTATTGTCCTTCCCATTCCTCACAAGTTAATTATGAATGCACTAACAACTAAGGTTGCTCTGTGCAAAGTTTGTACAATGCTGTGCTGGTTGGTTTTTGTCAACTTGACACAAATCTAGGCATATGTAGGAAAAGGAACTCTTGACTGAAAAAAATGCCTCTATCGGATTAGCCTCTGTAGGGCATTTCATTGGTTAATGAGTTATTAATATAACTGTGGGCATTACCTCTCCTGGGCTAGTGCTCCTGGGTTGCATAAGAAAGGAGGCTTAGCAAGCCATGAGGAGCATGCCTGTAAGTAGCACTACTTCATTGTCTCTGCTTCAGTTCCTGCCTCCAGGTTCCTGCCTTGAATTTCTTCTCTGACTTTCCTCAGAGATTAACTAAAAACTATAAGATGAAATAAACTGTTTCCTCCCAAGTTGCTTTTAGTCATAGCGTTTCATCCTATCCATATAAATCCTAACTAAGACAAATATAAGTTTGCTAAGACCAGATAAATGTCCCAGATAGCTTTTTTGGATGTTTTTCATTAGGATTGCTGGAAACAGAGATTCCTAAGCTTTGTAAAGCAGAAACATAATGGAAACCCTACTTTACTCTTTGAAGGATGATGTAGGTCTGGAATCCTCTTTTCTATCTGATGTTTCATCTTGTTGTCAATGATGTTTGATCTTGTTGTCATGCCTCTAGCTATAAGTGTCCTTTGCCTTCCAATTCTTTAATTTCTGTTCCAGGTTTAAAAGTCATGACAAGACTAACACTTCTCTTCCTGAATAACGTAGCATTGAATCTGTATGCCTAGGAAGGTAGAAAGTCTCTGTGAGATGGTTTCCATCCTAATTTCAAGTCCTGTCTTCCATTACATGTCTCCCTGACTCCATGTCCTACAAGCTGGGGCTCACATTGCTCTCTAGAAAAAGTCAAAGTCCTCAAGCAATTATACTGCTTCTCTACAGAAGTGTGCAGCCAAATGTCTAGTGAAAACACTTCTTCCAGAGAGGAACTTTCATAGTCTCCCCAGAGACTGCATAGAAAAGGAACACTAGTTTCTCTAACAAACATTGTATATGGGAAAATGGATTCCTCCAAAACAAATTTAGAGTTTTTACTCTGCAATCCTAGGAAATCAGTGGCCTCACACAATTACATGATTGAGACAAAAGCATTAGAGGTTTAAAACACCTAAAATCCAAAATCTGATATTCTTCAAAATAAAAAACAATATAATACAACAGGAGAAATTTTATACTTGTGTTTATATGAAAGATCAATGTTAAAATGCAGGTGTACAAAAATATTGTAGACAATTGTGTACAGGAAATGCATATAAAGGGCATATAATAGTAAAGAAATTTCAGTTTTAGACTTAAGTCCCATTGCCAAGATATCAAAATCCAAAAGAACTAAAAAAATACATTTTTAGCATCTAGGATAAATAAGGGATACTTCACCTGTTGATGTATACATGTGTAGCACACCACAATGCTAAATGTGCTTTTATGCCTGCTACTTTAAATGATTCTCAAAGCAGTCTCATGGAACAATGAGGGAATCAATTCATTAGTTTGGTAAATTACGAAACTACTGTTTGGGAATGACAAACAACACACCAAAAGTCACATAGGAGAGCTCAGGATAAAACCAAATTTACATCTCAGAGTGATGTGATTGTGACCCAGTTTTGTTGCTGAGTCAAAAGTTTTCTACATTCCCTTCCACATTTAAACCAAAAGAGTGAGGACCACTGTGCTCTCATGTTACGGTGAGACTGGAGGCAAAATTTAAATTATTGCAATTTGTTTAGAGTTGTGAGTGAGATTTGTTGGTCTTTTTTCTGAACTCTGTTATTTTTTAAGGTGTTCATATTTTTCTAAAAATAACCTCCATTGTTCTTTTTTTTTAAAAAAAAACCTTTGATGTAACCTCTGATGTCTCTATAATTTTAAGAAATATTTTAAATCAAGGTCATGGCTTAGGAGGGGCTAATTGATGAATCAGAGTCTTATTTGGTTACTGAGAAACTGTCTGTTACAAAATTTCTACTCAGAAGCATGTCACCAGGACCAGTGACTAAGGGATAAGTGTTGAGAAAAGAAAATAGCTTTAATGAAGATGGTAGAGACCTGAAAGGGTGAGAAAATTAGTCTCAATTCCTCCTTTTCCAAGATCTTAGGGAAGTACTCGATTTTTTACATTAATCAGTATAGGAGCAACATGCAGAAAACCAGCATTTTCCAGATGCCTTGAGTTGGGCAGTCTGGAGTTATATAGTAATCGAGTGATGATAGAATATGAATTATAGTTTATTGTTAACTAGAAGTCAAGCATTTCTGCAATGCAGAGTGAAGGCCAATTTCTCACAATGAGACAGAAAAAGGAATAAACTGAAGTGGAATTATTGATAGTAGCATAGTTGGTTTTCAAAGTATTATTCCTATGCACCCTTTGGAGGTTTGGTGTAATTTGAGAAGTATTCATTAAATATCTTCGACTGCTGTTTGTTTATTCATTGATTTTTTATTGTTAGTTGTGATGATGGATTAGTTTCTTTTTTCTTCTTTCTTTCTTTCTTTCTTTCTTTCTTTCTTTCTTTCTTTCTTTCTTTCTTTCTTTCTTGTAACTCTGGCTTGCCTACAGTGTGCTATGTAGGCTATGCTGGCCTCAAACTCAACAGAGATCCTTCTACCTCTGCCTCCCCACCCCCAAGTCCTGAAATTAAAGGCTTTCATCCTGCACAATTTCCAGCTTTGCATTTTGTTTAACTTTTCATCAACCTATTCTAAATTCGTGTATTCCAACTTTACATAATTTTCAAATAAATATGCTTACTAACATGAAAATATCTGAACAATCTTCATCTCTTTTTGTCTGAGACGTTTATATAACTGCTAATATCTGCTTTATGTACTATCTTTAATGCCTCTGTCCCTATTGATATGAGTGATCCCTAGGTTGAAATCAGGTAAACATCATAGTGTTCCATGCCTCAGAGTAACAGCTTATTATATCACTTTACTTTTTTGGTAGAGGAATTTATCAGCTAGACAGGCCATCAGTGAATTTAAAGTTACCCCAGAAACCTAAAGAATCAAGAGTATCAGATAATTCACTTGCTAAGGACCTACATCATTCATTGGACACAAAATATGTCAATCATCACCTCTCAGCAAATGACCTTAAGGCCCATTAGAAAAATAGAATGTTGTTTTATGACCCCTACAGATTCCACACATGTCAACTACCAATGTGAATCCTTCCTGCTCATCTTAGGTCTCAGGGTAAAGTAGCAGTTGTCCTCATCAACTCCCAGAAGGCTCCTTGGCCAACTGTGTCCCTCTCTGGTAAATAGCTAGAGTTCAACCATATTTTTTTGACAGGTGTGTGCTATAACATGTTATATTTCCAAGAGCGAAGCCCATTCCCAACAGATCGGGTTGGAGTTGGTAGACACATGAATCCATATGTGATTGTCAATGATGAAGGTTTGGTGCCTGAAGAATATGTGTCCTTAATCCCTGAAGAGATGATCCCTGTGGCTTTGGAAGCAGAAATGGAAGAATCTTTGGAAGGGGAGGAGGTCATTTGGTCTCATGTACCAAATGAAGAGGAGGAGAATCAGACTGAGACCCAGGTGGAAAACTGTGACTGTACTCACAATGTAGAAGAGGATGATGATGATGATGATGATGATGATGAAGCTAATTATAAGCATACTGAAAATTTTACAGGCAGTGGTGAGTTAACTGCAATGGGATTTTGGAACTTTACTTGAGATATCTATTGTAAAAGCCAAACTCTGCTCGTGGGCCCAGGCAGCCTATGTGGTGGTTAACCACCACTGAGGGTCTGGTAAAACACTGGTACTGGGGAAACAATATACTTTATTAGTTTGTAAACTTAAATGAAAATTTTTCTTTTGTTGGAGGGCAACAAATATCACCAGACCCAAGTGGCTTTGTTCGTTCTTGTCCCAAGAGTCAGAAATAGTTACCTGAACAAGATGGAAGATCTACTACAAAAAGAGGGAAATAGTTTTTTCTCTTTGTTTTTGATTTTTACTTTTTAAATTTATATTAGAAACAAGCTTGTTTCACATGTCAATCCCAGCTCCCTCTCCCTCCCCCTCCTACCCCACCCCCACCAGATACCCCAACCCCCCCACCTAATCCCCACTCTGCTCCTAGAGAGGGTAAGACTTTCCATGGGGGATCTTCAAAGTCTGTCACATCCTTTGAAGCAGGGACTAGACCCTCTCCTATGTGTCTAGACTGAGAGAGTATCTAAGAGAGGGGAATGTTATTGAAAACTATCAACCACTTACAATCTAGCCGTCAGTTCCAATCTGAGGACCATGTGAATGTAGTTTCACCCCCAAGGAAGGTACCTAGTTATATTTGTTAGTATTTTTGTTTGTTTGTACTTAGTTTTATAATGAGAGTACACTGCTACATATTACTGCTGATTAGGAACTAGAATCTTTTTTATTTTTCAGTTTAAATTTAGATAAGAAACAAGGTTGCTTCACAAGTCAGTTCCAGGTCCCTCTCCCTTTCCCTCCCCTCCTCCCCTGCCCTCCCTCCAGCCCCCCCATTATCCCCTCATTTCCCCAGGGAGGGTAAGGCCCTCCATGCGGGTGTCCATAGTCTTTCATTTCACATAGGGCAGGGCCTAGACCCTTCCCCAAGAGTTCAGGATGAGAGTGCACCTCACATTGTTGGATGGGAGTCCAAAGTCCGTGTGTATACTCGGGATGGGTACTGATCTGCTGCCCAAGGCTCAATAGATTACCTAGGCCTCCTCACTGACACTCACATTCAGGGGGTCTTGATCAGTCCCATGCTGGATTCCCAGGCTGATGCCTGGGATTCAAGAGTTAACCTTTGTCAGGTCAGCTGTTTCTGGGGGTTAAACCAGCCCAGTCTTAATCCCTTTGGATATCAGTCCTCCCTCTCTGTTACTGGCTTTCTTGAGTTCAGCTCAGTACTTAACCGAGGGAGTCTGCCTCTTCTTCGATCAGCCACTAAATGAAGTTTCTGTTTCCCAGACTCTCTGGCCATGGGATTGTAGGCTGGCACTCCCCAGATCTATGTCTAAAATCCATATATGAGAGAGTACATGCCATGTTTCTCTTTTTGTGACTGGGTTACCTCACTCAGGATGGTTTCTTCTGGTGTCATCCATTTGCCTGCGAATCTCAGGATTCCATTGTTTTTTTCTGCTGAATAGTACTCCATTGTGTAAATGTACCACATGTGGTAAAAAAATAAGAGAGAACTAGAATCTTTTAAGATGTTCTAGTCCTAATGTCTGTATATTTCTTTACTTATTGAAGTAAACGACCATACATATGAATGTACCCATGATGAGACCAAAGAAGCTGCATTTAGAGGGAAAGATGAGAATGAAAATGAAAACCAGGAGGTGGAAGATGATATTAATCCAAACTGAACTGAAAACAAATCCTAGAATCCAGGTATGTATATGTAGAATGTAGTATTCAATCATCCCTGTCTATGTTTATGTGTTGTGCGGGAGTATATTGTGTGTGTGGGTGTGTGTGCATGCATGTGATTGTGTTATGTTTAAAGTTTTCCTTGGTAAATCAAATAAGGAAAACTGTTAAAAATTAGTTCTTAAATTCAGTTTAAGGTTAACAATGAACACTAGATAGCACTGACTACAACATGTTCTTAAATGTTCAAATTATTTGTGTGTGGTTGAGTGTGTATATGTGTATGTATGTGTGTGAGTATGGTGTGTGGCAAAGTTTGGTATATTCATGCATGGAATATACATACTTGTGCAATCAGGAATCAGAAGAGGGCGTTGGGTATGTTCCCTTCATCTACCCTTTTTCTTTTGAGGTAGCATCTGTGACCCTAGAGTTCAAGGTTTTCTGACTAGCTTGGCACACCAGAAAATCCTAGTGATCCTGCCTCTCCTTTGTTCAGTACTTGAGTTAGAGGTATGCTCAAGATCATGACTAGCTTGTTAGGTAGGTGCTAGCATAAAAACCCAGATCCTCCTGTACATACAGCAAGTGCTCTTAACTGCCAAGACATCTGCCTAGCCCATATAGTCTTCATTTCCATTCATTCAGCTATGGCCATAAGGATCAACAGAAGGTTTGCCATATTGGGTAGTTGAGCCCATGATATTTGGAGAACCCCAAACAAATGGCTAAAGTAATATTTACATATAATTATTTAGACATCATCCTCTAGGAACAGAGATAATCTATTTTAACAGGGAGGAATGTTTGAGGTTGTAATGGCTTACAAAACTGTAGCAGCTAGAATCACTGTGATTAGTATGTGAGTATTCATTTTGTCGAAATTATTACATTTCATCTAATGGTTAACAAAAAATTAGTCATAGGAGGGTACTTTCCCAAGGAATTCATAGTTAGTTTATATCTAATTGTATAATTTCATTTATCCTTTTTGCCAGTATAGAATCTGTGGATTAGGAAAATATGATTCATGAATAGAGAACGCAGGGTTCTGGTTTTTTTGTTTGTTAGGTTTTTTACAGTGTCATAATATAGACCACACTGTCCTGGAACTTGTTACATATGCTAGGCTGGTATCAAACTCAGAAACTTTCTCTCTTCACATGTTGAATGCTGGGATTACAGCTAGCAGGGTTTTTTTTTGTTTGTTCTGATAGAAAACTATATTAAAATCCCAAAATGGTCTCTCCAAACTAAACAACAAAATAGAATTTTTCAATGTTGAAAAGGGAGAAAGATGAAGTTGCTACAGTAGGAGGGGTATGGTATAATATTCTGTATAAACATTTTCTTTCCCAACGATCTAGGCTATGATGGAGAGATACTGTGGAAAAACGTTGTTAAAACAGTACATTTGTATTGGATTGACTGCTTTCTTAGATTTGCAAAGTAGCTGGTGCATGTTAATGTTCTACAAGCGCTAATTATCCCTTATTACTTCCTACAACTTGAAGGCATAAAGATAAAATACAGGAAGTCTGAAACACATGAGGATTTTATCAACACTGATTGTGGTTCAAAGTTCATCACCCTTTTTAGTCAACTTTACTGTTGTCTGATTGTTTTCCTGTATTATTTTTCTATAACACACAATGTTTTTTCAGTTCAAAATAAAAGATTTGAAAAGCATAAGCAACGAATTCTTTGCATAAATAACGCCGACTTAATTTACTAATATTGCTTTTGTCTTGGCTTAGCAGATATCAAAGGGAATCATTTGCAGCTGTGTTTTAAATTTTTCCATTAGTAACCTCCAGCTACAACGACATTGGTGGCAAACAATTTATTTCAAGGGAGAGGCAGGGTTCTAGCTTCTATTCAAAGAAACTAATGAATGAACTGGCTTTGCTGAAAGCCAGATGGTGTCTCTGTGCAGTGGCAGCAGTAACAGAAGGAGAAGAATCAGTATCTAGGTACTTGTATGCATTTACACAAGCCCACTACAGACAAGCTAAGGCAGAAATGTTTAAGCTAAACAAAATCCTGCATTTTTAATAAGTCTTTTAGGTGATCCTAAAGCACATTAATACTTGAAAAACATTAGATTAGAGCAATGGGAGGCCAAGTTTCTGCTTTATGAGTATTAGTTAATTGATTCACTTGAGATCCTTTTCAGCAAAGTGAACAGGGAAATCAAGATTGAGGGTGAGCTTTGAATTCCTCAGAGTTGTGACATAAGATGTGGAAGCTTAAAGATTATTTAGTGGAAATGGAGAAAACAGGTAAGGGAAATAGCTAGTCCTAGAAATATACCAATTTTATGATGTCGTATATATACATGTTATAATATATAAAATAACCATATACTAATTGCAGTTATACAAGTATAAGAGAAGGGATACATGGGAGAGATGCCTGTGAGTGTAGACTACACAGAGGTGTGTAAGACAATAATAAACACCTTATTTAGGAGAATGGCTGAGAAAAGAGAGGATGGATCACTCACTTGGAGAAGGTACTCTTGACTCTATAAATCTGTGATCAAGTATTACCACAGAATCAAATAGCTTCAAACAAGACAATTTTATACTCAGACACTTCTGAAGGCCACAAGTCTGAAATCAAATTCAATCCAGGAACACTCACTTAGTAGGTTTAGGAAAGAATCCTTCTTGTTTCTCTAATTACTGGCCACTTTACATGTGATCTCTTGTTTATCTGTTTCCTCCAGAGTGGATATGACCAATGCCATCTTGAATCAGAGTTTCTGTGATAATTTACATAATAAACCTCCAGAGATCAGGCTTACTGTCTTTCCTAGTGGAGGGATGGAGTATATTTACAGAGTTTATGGGGATCAAAATCCTTGAGAGATCTTCCTAAGGCTCATTTTCCCCTGACATTATGTAGGAGGCACAATGTTGACAAGGTGTGGGACTCTGGGTGCACCAAGTATGTGGCCCATGGGGATTCTTCAGAGTTATACCTTTATGAGTAATTCACGAGGTGGACAGGATTTTTCAGTAGTATAGCTTCAGGTAAATTGTTCAAATAGCTTGGTATGAATCACCCATGCTCCTATAGATAACCTCAATAAACTCATTGGTTCACCAAGCTGTATTTGCATGCAATCCTTTCTTTGGTCAGTTAGTGCTATATCTGGGGTGAATATATGGTTCTTTATATCTCCTGAGGAAAACTCATGCATAATATATTTATCCTTCCTAGCTTTTCTCTTAGCCAAGAGCACCAATCATTGGATTTAAGACTCAAGAGAAATCTAAGATAATTCTATCCTGTATTTCTTTTTTGTTGATTTTTAAACTGTTATTGATTCTTTGTGGATTTCACATCATGCTTCTCAATCCCATTTATCTCCCTGTCCCCTTGTATCTATCCTCTGCCCATGAAACCTCCCTCAAAATGAAACAAAATGTAAAAGAAAACCAAAACAAACAACAACAACAACAAAATAGAAGAAAAAGGAGAAGAATCTCCTTGTGGAAGCAATAGTGTGGCCAATTGAGTCACACGGTTTATTTTAGTTCATTCATTTTTACTTGTAAGTGTTCATTGCTATGAGTCATTTGACTGGTTCAAGGCCTCTGGCTTCTGCCACTTGTAGTGAGCTCTCTCTGGGGATCCTCTTGGATATCCTGTTGCCCTGTGTCATGGAGATCCTGCAGTTTTGGATCTGTGCTTCGTCCCCTTCGCATGTTCCAACAACTCATTGTTGGAGTGGGCTAACTCACAGTCCTTCCTGGTTCTGGGCCTGGGTGGTAGCTGGGCTGGTCAGCCCACCAGCTTTCCCTCATCTTCACTAATCAGGCAAGCTCTCCAGTAATACCTCAGCTAGCTCACCCAATGCAGCCTGCAGCAAGGCTTGAGGCCAATTTTCCAGTTTTCAGGCCCTCAAATCTGGTTAACCTACACTCCTACCACCAGGGCCAGATCTATTGTTTTGCCCAAGCAAGGTGCAGGGCCCTATTTCCCAATTATTCTAGGGGACATAGGGGTGCCAGCTCTTCTGTTCTCATGACCTCAGAGCTGGCTCACCCATGCCCCTGTCAACATAGTCATGTTTAGTGTACTGCCCAGATGGGATGCAGGACTAGCTCTCCTGTGTGCTACAGATGATGAGGGTCAGGGCTGGTTCTCATTCTCATGACCCTAGGGTCACGTTTAATTCAAGCGCCAGCTTTCCTGTAAGGGGCAGGGCTAGCTCTCCTGCTACAGTAGCCAGTCATCCCAGGGCCAGTGAAGGATGTGACTGTCTCAGTAAGCCCTCAGATTTCGACATGCATGGTTCCTATGACTCCCTGTGCTGACACTGGCCACAGACATCATCACGGACCCCAGCTGCAGAAGAACCATAGAACCAGAAATGGCCCTCAATAGCAGGTTGGGCCCTGATGTCACCATGGCCCTAATGGCAGCCCAGGCCACCCAGATCAGTATGGTCCTGGTGGGAGCGCTGTCCTCAAATACTATGGTAGTTTGAAAGAAAATAGCTTCCAAAATGAGTGGCACTATTAGGAGGCATGGCCCTGTTGGAATAGGTGTGGTCTTGGAGGAAGTGTGTCACTGTGGGGGTGGGTTTTGAGTTCTCCTATGCTCAAGCTACTCTCAGTGTCTCAGATCATTTCCTGTTGCCTGCAAGATATAGGACTCTGAGCTACTTCTCCAGCACCATGTCTGCCTGCATGCCACCATGTCCCACTATGATGATAATGGACTGAAGTAAGTGAACTACCCCCAATTAAATGTTTTCCTATAAAAGTTGCTGTGGTCATGCAATTTCTTCACAGCAATAGAAACCTTAAGACAGACACTGACACAGTCTCAGGTAGCTGACTAGACCCTGTACATCTACATAACTCCAGTGCTAACAAGAGCCATGGACATCACGCCAGATCCCAGGCACTGCAGGGATACCCCAACCTGTTCTTCTTAAGTAAATTTGAATTTCAAAGATACCACATCCAATTAAAATCACATTTATAGGTAGTAGATATTGGAATTTGACATTCCTTATTTAGAGAATGAAATTTAGTCTATCACAAGGAACACAGAAAACTTTCATTGTTCTTATATATTAAGTAATGTGGTTGGTACATATTATACATACAATTGATTTCATATCTGTGGGTGCCACATCTATGAATTAAAGTATGGATCAAAATTTTTTGAAAAACAATTGTGCCATATATAGGTTTCTCTTTTGGTTCTTTAATTTACATAATATATATTATAAGTAATATAGAGATATTGGTGGCTTACTAAGGTTATATACAAATTCGGCATGTTTTATTAAGGTTATATACAAATGCTACACGTTTGGCTACATCATTTTATATGACTTGAATGTCAGAGAGTTTACTATCTTCATCAAGTCCTAAAAATAATCTCAACAGATCCTGAAGAATGATTATATCCTCTATAATATTGTATAACACTTAGATATTTATAAGGGAAAATGACAAAATTTAGAGGGAAATAGAAATGGGTCTAATATCTACAAGTTATTTAAGGAAAAGGAAGCCTTTAATTAACGTTTGTAGACAATCAGAGAAGGGAAAAGACCAGGCCAGGGATTGTTGGTAGAAGACCCTGTTTCTACATTTATATGCTCTCTCTTTAGCATTAACATTTTCCACTTATTTTCTTCTTGCTAAACACCTCAAAATTTACTCTTGTTAGAAACATTTTACAGTACCTCAGATAAACATATACCTCATCCTTTTAAAGTCAAAATGGCCACATGAAAAATCAGAAAAAATGCCATCATTACTCCAAAAATTAATTTAAGCATATTCATTGAGAAATGGGCTGTTACCTTTTTTGTAGAAATGTGATGTGCATGTTCTTTAGTTGCTGACATGTGACCAGCAAAATTGCTTACTGCCCCCCGATTCAGGTTGGTATGGATTAGGGAACAGCATAAACACAGCAGGAGAGCTTATGACAGGAACAAGAAGTTGCAGAGTCCTTACTTCTCAACAGAAAATCCATTACACTGGCTTATATGCCAAGCACTGTAAAAGAACATTCAGCAGCAGCACACTTAACAATCTGTAATAACCAGGAGCATCCTTAGTCTTTTCCAACATATAGCTGTTTGCACTGGTGCTCAGGAAGAATGCAATGCTACACTGGGAGTTACTCACAACCCCAAAACAAAGAGCATATGACACTTGAATATTTAAGTGTGTGACAGTGAATATTCCAAAATCATATCCAGTATGTTAGGTTTGGTTCTCATCTATGCAAATATTTGTTTTGAAAATAATTCTTAAAAGGGACTTAGAGAAATAGAGGGTCAACACCATGATGGATCATTAGAAGACAGTGTTAAACAACTGCAAATGTAGGTTTTAGGTTAAAAAAAAACCTCTCTGTTGGTTGATTCCTACAGCCTAGCCAAGCTGTACTCTTGGGAGACTCAGAGCTCAGCACAGTCAGCTGGCTCCAGTAACTTCCTAGATAGATAATCCCAAACAAAAACTCAATTGAGGCTGAGGACTAAAGCTGACTCATGCAAAAAATGAGCCCTGGGTGCACAATGACCTATAGAACGCCTTCTGAGACAAAGGGCTCCAGTCTGTGGATTATCCACATTATTGAACATTATTGAAGAAGAGCTCCCAGCTGAAATAGCAAACCTGTAAGTGGTTCTTGCATGAGGAGG